AAACTAAAATGTTCGATTCGCCAGCAATTCCTTAAGATTGTCACACTGACAAGCCCCGTGCATCGATCTTGGCTTACACATACACATACATATGTACACATATTTAATCGAACATAGTTCAGCAACAAGCAGCTCAAGGCATTCTACCTAAATCACAACAAGAGAACGCAAAGAACCATAAGACAACTTAAAAAAAAAACCCAAAAACCCTAGCACAGCCAGCGAGCAAGTGCTCAAATTCCATTAAAGAACATTTACAAATTTGGCAAAGATCACTGGCAAGAGGAAGCAGCAGCAGCATTTACAGAACATCGGGCAAATAGGGCAATACATGCTACAAAAAATAAAAGAACAAACAAAAAACGAAAAACAAAAACAAAAACAAAAACAGGCTATATCTAGCGACACCTTCGATGGGGGCAAAAAGAAGTGAACCGAACCAAACTAAACGAAACCAATTGCCACAGAAAGACCTTGAGATCATGCCAAGACAAACAATAAGAAAACAGAGGCAGCAGCAACAATGTGGCCCAGCAGCAGCAGCAGCAGCAACCACAACAACAACGACAACAACAGCAAGGATGAGAGGAGAACTTTTGTCTCCAACAGCGTTTTTCCCTAACAACCGAGGTGATAAATAAAATTCTTTATATGCAATCTTTTAATGCAATTTACAATAAAATCAACATGGAGTTTAGTTGCTGGCGGTTGTCGGTTGCTTGGGCAGCAGCAGCTTCTTCCTTTTCGGTTTCTCCGCTCGGCTCCACCGCTCCACCGCTGCCTGCCTGACTGCCTGGCTAAATAACAAGGGGGCACAGCTTGATTTGACATTAGCACAATCCCACAGATCACCTTCCCAAAATGGATTTTGCCGCCGCCGCCGCCGTCGTCGTCGTTGTCTGTTTTCAGTTTTCAGTTGGCATCAGTTGCTGGGCATGAACTTTTGCGAGGTGAACAACGGAAATGGAGGCCCAGACCGCGATGATCATTGCGACCAGGCAATAAATACACCATAGAAATGATGTACGGAAAATGATCGCAGCTCTAACTCTCTAGCCGGCCATTTCATCCCAACCCATCCAACCTTCCAGCCACGGACTCACAACTCCTCAGCCAGCCAGCTAGCCAGCCAGTCAACCAGGCAGCCAGCAGCAGCACAAACAGCTCAACGGGGGTGCTTCGATGCCGGCAAGTTGCTGCTGCACAGTGGAATCAAATTTATTATCATATAAGTGCAATATCCATCAGAAATTAAATATTTTTAATCTGTTGTATTTTTAGCATTTAATTAACTTCAATTCTTAAACACTTGGAACACCGCTTTTGCACATGCCTAGCGGTGATTTGGATTTGTACAAATAAAGCATAATATAATGGATTGGATACATAATGAGGCTATATACTGTGGATTTATATATTTTTAGCAAAGTCCATTAAAGATGGCTTTCAATCGAATTCTATATAATTTTAAACATTTTAAGAAAGACAAATTTCTAGAGCTATAATCTCGTAAGTAATAATAATGGTTATCAATCGAATGTTGTCTAAAAGTGTTGTTAGTTAAAAAATAGATTCGATATTTTATTTTGTATTTAAGAGTAAAATGTCTTCGATTCCAGATACAAATTATCATTTGAATTTATCATTGTCAGAGGTTCATCTCAAGTTTCAAAGCGATTGAGCCACTGTGCCCGCTTAGAATCTAGCAGCTGCCTAGCTGCGGATGCTTGGGGCTGCCGTTGCCGTCGCTGCTGCCGCTGTTGCCGGTGTTGTCGCTGCTGCTGCTCGTTTGGGCTACCACTTTGCGTCTGGCGGCGGTGGCTGCGACTGCGATTGCGGTTGCTGCTGTGGAGGCAGCCGCGGCATTATTAATGATAAATGTGGCTTGCACTCATGATAAATACAGAGAATCGTTGAAAGGTATAAATCAATAATAGAGAAGTTTGTTTGCAGTTAGGAGGCGCAGGATGGAGCCGTGATTTTCAAAGCAATGCCCAGGCTCAGCCACTGGCCTGCAGATACAATGAGTATGCCAAAACATAATTCAAGTTAAAGGTCTTCGTGTAGAAGCTGCCGCAGCTCATCTGATTAGGGCACCCAACCCAGGCCGGATACAGAAGAGGGATTGAGGAAGGAGGGGAATATGACTTTGTTGCGCAGCGACTTATTGATTGACTAATTAATCGAGACAATTACAATAAAAACGAACAGAGACATAAAAGTGATGCGATTATCAATAACAATTAGCCGACGCCTGCGACAAACTTCGTCCATTTTTCTATCCATCAATGGCGTCCAGTGGCCTGTCAAATTTATGCTTGTCCTGCCGCCAGCTTACTGCTCCAGTCATCTCCAGCCCGCCTCCTGCTTGTCACCTCTATGCCTCCATTTGAATGCACGAGTTACGCATCCATCAAATGTCAATTGTTTGTCTTGGCGTTCCACCTTCTTGACGTCGGCAGCATCCTCACCAGCAGCAGCAGCCGTAGTCGTAGCAGCATTAGCAACATTGTTGTCGTCGTCGTCGTCGTCGTCATCGTCATCAGCAACGTCTGTGGCAAGCTTTGCCATTTCTCATAAATCATTGCAGTGGCTCTCAGGCGGGCATTACGACGACAACGTTACGTCTCTTGTGCCTGTCAGAAGGAGCAGGAGGCGAGGCATATGGATGCATGGATGCAATCGCTTCGATGCCCATCCATGGCATTGAACTTGTCTAGCGCATGAGTGTCAGCCGGTACGTCCAACTCGGCGCAGTTGCTATGGAAAGTATTTTAGATAATGCCAACGGGGCTGTAGCTGGGGCTGAGGCTGCATTACTGAGGATTTGTTGGTTTTTGCCCCAATACTCGATAGGCAAGCTGACAAACCTATATAAATGGAAAAGGATGAAAATTACATACATACATATATAGTGAACAAACATTTTAAAGTTCGGTGCACAACTTTGTACTACATTTTATGTGGCATTTTAAACATTATTGCCAGTGCTGTGCTGTACGCTCATCTATAGTTATCCACAGTGGAGTCTGCGTGTCTGTCTGAGGACTACTATGTACTATTAATAGAGCACATGTGCTTATGTATTTATAAGTCCATTCGCTTCACGTTAATGGCCCGGCATGGGGTCACCTGTGGTTTAAGCACCAAGCTGCCAACTTTGCACGTTAGACCAAATGAAATGGACGGAGTTTTTTTTATTGCGTCCTTTTTGCATCCCATTGAATATTCCATGGCGGCCACCTGAAAAAGTGCTGGTAAACTTTGCATAGTCAAACAGGTGCACTCGAGTGCTCCTGTTTGCTGCCCACCTGCCCCACCTGCACCCCTTGTGGCCAAAACTCTTGAAGTGGACTCGCCCACGCTTCTCTCAATCAGCTGAGTCATTCTGCGGTGAAGCTTGGCCATCTCTAGTCTCTTTGGCCAGCAGCTTATCTGTGAGTGTCCTTGCGTTTTGTGCAAGCTACTAAATAATTTTGGAGTCTAGTACAGCATATTTTTCATTTTCAAATGAAGATTTATTTCAACTTGCTGTTGCTGCTGCATTTAAAGTTCGTTGCAGTTCACTTTCTACTTGCTGCAGCTGAAGAATTGAAATGCCGACCCACATAAATCATTCACAATTAGACGCGCCAGCAACTGCAGCAGCAACAGCAACATCAGCAGCAGCAGCAGCAACAGCAGCGGCAGCCGCGGTCATGGCTCCAACAACACCTGACCGAGTTGCCGCTTGCTGCTAATCCAATTGGATTCACTCACTGCCTGCTAGACAGTCACTCGCACCACTCACAGCATATTTGACTCGACTCGAATCATCTGAGTGTTTCACAGTGCCAACGTTCCGCCTGTTGGCGCAACATGTTCGAGTTGTGCCTGTAGCTTGTTGTACTCATAGGCCGTAGCGGTGGTTACTACAAATGTGGCTGCAATGAGTGGAGAGGCGACGTCGACGCCGAAGTCGCGGCTCGAACTCGCAACTTGTTCTGTTCACTCTGAATCGTCGAGGCGTGCGGTACTGAAAGCCGGACAATATAAGACAAAAAAAAACGTTGCGACCCAAAACAGTGGCGCGCGTACCACAACAACAACAACAACAACAAATAATAATAATAACAACCATTAGCTAGATATTGAAATCAACACACAAAAAAGCCTCTCAAGTGCGCGAGTGTTTAATTAAGTAACCGTAAACCGGACTCCTGCATTATTTGTGATTTATGCGGATCGCACAGTGTATCCAATGTGTGTGTCTTTATTTGTATGCTTGTGTGTGTGTGTGCCAAAAATCGAGTTAATTGAGCTGTAAGTGCTGATTTGTAATACAAATTTGCATCGCTTGCTTGCAAACGAGGCAAGTTGCAAGTTGCTGAGCTGCCGAGGAAACGCTGGTCGCATAAACAAATCTGGCTGCGCGTCTTGGTTCACTGATTTAATGCCACAAACAGATTGCAGATTGTAGCTGTAACCACCAGCCAACCACTGTGCACCCCCCTCACACACCCCTCTCCGCTCCGCCCCTTCCCGCCCTCAGTATATACATACACAAATACACACACACACACACACACTGCGGGCGCGCCCTCTCCTGTCCTGCTTGGAACATTGCAACCTGCTTGCAAGCTTGTTTCTGCGGAAGAACAGCCGCCAGAGTCAGAGTCGAAGTCGAAGCCGCAGTCGGAGTCAGAGCGCCACACCGAGCGAGGTGAGACAAGGTAGCCACAGCGAGAGAAGAGATCCGGCAACAAAAAAAAAAAAAAAAAAACAACACAAAAAAAAAACAAGAGACGACTACGACGTCGTCCAAACATTTTGCCATTGAGCAAAAGAATTTCTTTAAAACAACAACGCGCAAAGATTTACAACGCAGACCAAGCAAAAAGTGTAAAGCAAGCAAAGCAGCAAAAAAATTAGCGCATACTGGAAGTGCATCTATATATATATATATATATACGCATATATGAATATGTGTGTAGAGTGTGTAGACGTGTGTGTGTGTGAATGAGTATGTGTGTGTGAGTGTGCCTTTGCCAAGTGCAGGCAAAAAAGTTGTTTAACTAACCAAAAGAAAAAGTTTGAAAAGTGTCAAGCTAAGCGGTGCGGCCAATAACCTAACGACAACAACCACAACAACTGAAACAGCAATTGCAACAACAGCAACAGCAACAGCAACAACATTTTTGCCAAGGCATGCAATGGCGACCCCGTGCACCGGCCAGCCTGCGGTTTAATTACCGTTATCCTTGCAACAGCAGCAGTAGCTAAATAAGCGGCACTCAAGTCTTTGGATTACGATTACGCGTTGCACCGAAAGCAAAAGGACGAAACTCCAGCGACTGTGGTAAAAATAGAGAGTGCGAGAGAGAGAGAGAGAGAGAGAGAGCGAGAGAGAGAGAGAGGGGCTAAGAGGAATCAAAGTCGCGTCGGCAGGTGAACATTCCAATTGGCAAAAGGCAAAGCAGCTAATTGGCACAGCCTGACAGCCCGAACAACAACAACAACACACAAAGCAAAACAGGTGAGTTTCAAAGCCACGCAGCTCTTGTTCTTGTTGTAAAAGTTCAGCTACAGTGTTCAGTGTGTGCAGTTGATGATACGAACTCTCCTTTTGCATTAAGCGCGTTTCTATTAATAGATTAACGAGCATATCAAAATATATGCGTTATGATCAATATAACGAAGTTGCGGAAGCTTAAGAACAACTACTTGATGAACGAACAGATTGAAAGTGTTGTTTGAGTGATGGAATACCGGGCAATATCATCTTTTATGATGTCAATCATTTTGAATAGCCCATAAATAAAGTAATGGTTCTGCACACCAAGTTAACCCAGTTATCGTGTTGTATATAGAACTTCTTAGGCAGTGATGTAAGTTCTTTTGCCTTACCTTTTAACTTGAATTGATCTCGACCGAAGAATTGCATCCCACAAAACTTGATATTGATCAGTTAATATAATATTAAGTTCTTCGAACTAATTTGGTTCATATATATTACATCCTTCCTTCGACTTCATTAACATTTAAGAACTCGAAAGGAAATATGAAACTCTTGAACATTCGTACTATCTTCGTTATAAAAATGAGTTGTTTTTTTGTTAAGATCTTCATAAAGAGTTTCCAACAACCTCACAGCAGGATGCCAATGAAAGCGAAATAGAGAGGGAGAAAGAAAGACAGAGAGATCAATCTGCTGTCAGAGGCAGAGGCAGAGGCAGACACATAGGCAGAGACCTTCATAACTAGGCGCTAAGTTGCCTCAACATTTGCGTACAACAATTCGTTGCACGCTCCCATCATTGCTGGTGAATCATGGATCAGCGATCATGGATTCAACGGATCGATGCAATGCATTTAGCGTAACATTTTCGATTATATACAGCAATAAGCAGGCACATTTTGGTCTGCATCTTTGATCTTTTGTTCCATGCATCTAAGTTTGGCAGATGCCGACTGGATCTGTTTGGGTCTCTTCTGTATTGCTGTTGTTGTTGTGCTGTTCTGTTCTGTTCTATTCCATACTATCTGTCTGATCAGTCTGGGGCGGTACATTAAAGGCGAAGCTTTAAACGTGGCATTTCATAGCCAATTCCAGGGAAGTCCACTTCAAAACCAGAGAGAGAGAGATAGGCTGAAAGAGGGCGAGGAAACCTATCGAGCTGTTGTCCATATGGGTGCACTCGTCTCGGCTCCCAAAAGGGCAAACGCAGACAACTTGGCTGGGCAGAGCTGTCTAACTGTCCAACTGACTGTCTGTATCTCTCAATTCCATTAGACAGCCATGCGTTGTGGTCGTTTCTGTTGTGTTATGTTGTGTTGTGCTGTGTCTGGAAAAGTGAATTTATGCCGCGCTGCTGCAATGCAACAATTGATGCTGAGAAATGATGGCAATGACAAAGTGATTACTGCGCAGCGCTTATGTGAAAGCGGCACACCAAATTGGAAACTGCTATAAGACGGGGCTTGCAAGTGCGCAAGCAATCAAAGCTCAAGTCGAAATAACATTTTCAATTCACAATTCTCGGTTCTCAGTTCTCAATTGAAGCGTTAACATGGCCAAGTAGTAGCAACAGCAGCAGTTGAGAGAGAAAAGTGAAATGCGCCCGCAGACAAAGCAGGCGCATCATTAATCATTTAGTTGTTGTTTTTTCTCTTTTTTTCTTTACAAACGCATCTATACTATACTTACTTCATATACATATATATGTATATATATATATGTATGTATGTATAGCTGTGGCATTAAGTAGTTACCTACTTAAATGCTTAGATCAACTGAAGTTGAGGCCGACCCTGGCCACGTCTCAGTTTCTGGTGTATGTTTTTGGAAGATTCTGGTTCTGAGAGGTGCACGTTCTTGATTTGAATCTCTCACTCTACCTTAGTATTTGGCTTTTGTAAATTGCTCATCGTCATGCTTTTATGATTTGGTATTTTCTGTTTAGTATTTTATTTTTTTGTATATACATTTTTTGTTTCTTTTTATGATTGTTGTTGTACTGAATTCGATGCGCCCAACTTGATAAGCTCCAACGCGCTCTGCAGCATTGCTGAGTTATTGTTATACCATTTATTTATGTGTGTGCGTATGTGTATGTGTAGGTGTGTCCAAAGCCCAGCCCCCGGCCCAGCCTCGCAGAAACAGAGAGGGGTAGAGAAAGAGAGAGAGCGAGGGAGAGAGGGAGAACAGCAACAGTATCCAGCGCCAGGCAGCTAAACTTTTTTTGTGTGCCTGCGCGATATCAAAATTGTAAAATGTCTCGCATAACAAAGTTTTGTTTGGGGGCAAACTTCAGCTAACGCCCTGACAGTTATTGAATACTCTATTTTTTAATGTTGAGCTGAAAAAGAGAAGAAAAATGCTTAACTCAAAAGCTTGCCAAGTTTTGGCTACATAATTCTCCTCACACATTCAAAAACTGCACTAAATACAACACAATCCATTGCTAATCTTTAAAAATCTACACAAGCTGACTTCAAAAGGGTGTTTAAAATCAACCTGTACACAAAGTTGTCGAAATCATTGTGATGATGCTTTTGCTGCTCCACATCAACGTTTTATTGTAGTTACATCAAATTGAAGAATAGCTACAACACTTCCCCTTCTGCCACCATCCCCTTACCGTGCAACAACAAAATACAATAATTTCACTTGGCATACAGTTTATTATATAATTCCTGTCCCTTTTTGACTTTTATCTAACGTTTATTATGCCCCATGGAATTTGCGGATTTTGCAAGGGCTGCTGCTGCTTCTGCTGCTCCTTTTGCTTCTGCTGGAGGTCAATGTCTCTCACCACCAAGACGTGGTAAGACAAGACAACACCCCCTTTCAGCCAACTACCGCCTAGAGTTGTAATAACTTTGGCTCAAGTTTTGTTGTACATTTTGTTAAGACTTGACTTCGACCAGCAGCTGCCCCCTGTTAAAGTGCTAAAATACTTTGACGCATTCTTTGCACTTCTTTCTTCCGGAGCAGCTGTCCAAATGCCAAAATGCGAATACACCTACCACCCACATACACACACACACACACACACACACACACACACTCACACACACACACACACACACACACACATACGCACTCACACTCAATGTTGGCCAACCCCCAACAAGTAAAAGACGTGGAAAAAAACGTTGACTTGTAATAATCATAATCGTAAATTTGCAAAAAGCTGGCCGAGCCGCGTCCTTACACAGCATGTGGAGAGTGGCACAAGGTCCTTTGGGGCCATTTAGCATTTTGCGCAAAGCATTCGGATGATGCTGAAGATGCCGCATCAAGCTGAATGTATCTGTGAGTGGGTGTTTGCTCTCGGTTGGTGGGCGTGTTATGTTGTAGGCGTCATCATCATCATTTCGGAGCCTCCTTTGGCTATGTCGTTTGGCTCATAACAAGTGCGTAGGTCCACGCCCCTGCGGGGCATCAGAATACTTATAAAACGCTATTTAAAATTCTCGTCCATGGCATTTCATTATTCGGCCGAGAAAGTTTTAACTTTCATAATAAACTTTGGCGAAATTTAAGCGATTTTCCTGAAATGCCCAGTTGTAGTTTCTGGTAAACTTTAAGTCCGCTTCAACATTTGCTTTGGTTTGTTAATATGACCAATAATTTAAGTCACGCTTAATCGGTTGTGGCTGTAATTAGCTGCCTATATTGATTTCAATCTGCCTCCAACATGCTGTAAAATTTACCTAACACTTTTGCAATTCAAGTTGAGTTAAAGAAAAGTTATTGCTCCTCAGCACAAAATGCCACGCCTAAGAAAGCATTTAAAAAGTTTTCTAAACTTCATTTGGAAGTTTTATTACCAGCCGGCACACAAAGAAAAAGAGGAGAAGAGTATAAAAATGCGCTCGGCATTTTTGCACTGAAATTTGCTCTATTAAAATTCCAAGGAGCCGTTATGGCATCGTCCCATTCCCTCGGATACCGAAGCCTGGCAATTGCTTCAACATACGGCACATGCCACAATCAACGCGCGCCTTCTCACCAAGTGGAGCTGGAAGAGAGTCATGCAGGTTACTCATTCTATTCCTTCTTATGCTCCTGCTGCTGCTAGTTTTTTCTCGTTTTTGTTCGTCTATAGCCTTATCCTGGCTGACGGCTTAACAGTTTCGTTCAGCAGCAGCAGCAGCTGCAGCTGCAGCACTGTTCTCGGGAATCGTCGTAGTCCTTGCATAAGTCTTAGTTATGTGAGCGACTGGCATTTATCTTGTGATAATAGTTAGTTGTGCGTTGAGCGAGCAGTGGCGTCTAAAAACGGGGTTAAATAACCTTAAATATCCGGGGTTTTTATGCCATACTTATTATCAGCGGACCCCCTTTTGGGTGAGCACCTGCTTATATTATATAAGAATATGCTGCCTGCTCAGGCGCCATTTTCTTTTACCAGCAAAAATATGCATTCTCCGGAAGACAGGCATACAATGTAGTTTACCACCCACTTGCCAGCCCGCTTCAATCCAAATATTTTCTCGAAACCTTAATATTCGCATCCTGCATCTGGTTTAAGCTAAAATGTTTATCTATGCATGTAACTGTAAGCAGAATAAACGCAAGCACAGACAGCCAGACACCCAACAACAAAAAACAGTAGCAACAAAAACAACAGCAACAACAACAACAATAGATTTGTTTTAAGTACAAATAGTGTGCCCAAGTTTTTGGGGCCCTTTCTTTCTCCCGTTCGTTCCCTCCGGAATACTTCTGAGGTTTTCATCTGTACGAGGCGACTCACGCACCAACTTCTATTGTTAAACTTTAATGCTGTTTTTGGGGGCGGGTTCAGTGTTTGGGCGTGGCCTGGCAAATTTCATGAAAATTGTCCTTAGCTGCAACAGCAGCAGCTAGAAAAAGTTTTTTAGTTTTGCCTTAGTTGCTCAGCTCACAGACGAAAGCGTTATTTTATTGAATTCATTTTTGCTTTTTTTGTTGTTTTTTTTTTGACAAAGTTGTTGTCGCAAAGTTTTCCATTTCATTTTCCATTCTTGTCCATTTGCCTGCCACTC